GGGTTTAGGGTTTAGGGTTTAGGGTTTTAGGGTTTAGGGTTTAGGGTTTAGGGTTTAGGAGTTTAGGGTTTAGGGTTTAGGAATTTAGGAGTTTAGGAGTTTAGGGGTTTAGGGTTTAGGGTTGAGGCTCCAATCTGTAGGGTGTATTTGCAAGAATTTGGGGATGTAGGGTTTAGGGTAAGGGATTCGGGTTCAGAGTTGAGGGATTCAGGGTTCGAGGGTTCAGGGTTTAAGGCCTCAGGGTTTAAGGTTTTCGGGTTTAGGACGAGGGTTTGGGGTTTAGGGCTCAGGGCACAGGGTTTTAGGATTTAGGATGTAGGCTTGAGGGCTCAGGCTGTCAGGGTTTAGGCTTAGGATTATCGGGTTAAGGATTTACAGTTCCCCAAGCCCTAAACCCTAAACCCTTTAGGGCTCAGGGTTCAGGGCTTCAGGGTTCGATCTCAACGCTTACAGGGTGTAGAGTGTTTGGCATCGGCGCAAGCGGTTTGGTCCGTGTGTGTGGGTGTTTACAGTTTAGGGTGTAAGGTTTAGGGTTTAGGGTTGATGTTTGTCATATATGGCTACTTTGCAGGCAGTTGATATATTTGGCCCAAGCCCAGAGGTACCATGTCGATCACTGTAGATGTTGGACTGCTCAGCGGCAGGACCGCTACTGTGGAGGTAGGCTTGGATGAAAAGGTGGCAGCATTGAAACTTCGCGCAGAGTCTTTACTCGGCGTCGGGCAAGGACGACTACTGGACGCATCGGGTTGCCTTCTCGATGCAAGCACCCTAATCAGGAACACCAGGTTGCAGAATGGTGATTCGCTGACCTTGCATGTAATCAGAGTTCAGGCCTGTGGCAATAAGAGTTCTTTGGCCGTCATTCTTGGTGACGGAACTGTCGCGACCTGGGGTGCTTCTGCCTCTGGTGGTGACAGTAGTTATGTGCAGGCTCAGCTGAAGAATGTGCAGCAGATCCAGGCCTCTGGCCAGGCTTTTGCTGCCATTCTTGGCGACGGATCTGTCGTGACCTGGGGTCATGAGGGCAAGGGTGGTGACAGTAGGACCGTGCAGCATCAGCTGAAGAATGTACAGAGCATCCAAGCCACTAGAGTAGATTTCGCTGCGATTCTTGGCAACGGATCCATCGTGACCTGGGGCGAAAGTTGCTTCGGTGATATGATCAGGCCACCGTCCATCCTGGACGGTGGATCGGTCGTCACCTGGGGTTATGCTCACGCTGGTGGTGACAGTAGTGCTGTGCAGGATCATCTGAAGAATGTGCAGCAGATACAGGCCACAGCAGGCGCTTTTGCTGCCATTCTTGATGATGGATCTGTCGTGACTTGGGGGCGTGCTAGCGATGGCGGTGACAGTAGTGCCGTTCAGGCTCAGCTAAGGACTGTGCGGCAGATCCAAGCCACTGACAGCGCTTTTGCTGCCATTCTGAGTGATGGATCCGTCGTGACCTGGGGTCATGTCGGGCTGGGCGGAGACAGTAGTTCTGTGCAAGATCAGCTGAAGAATGTGGAGCAGATCCAAGCCAATTTCGGCGCTTTTGCTGCCATTATTGCTGATGGGTCTGTCGTGGCTTGGGGTCGTGCTGACGATGGAGGTGACAGTAGTGCCGTTCAGGCTCAGCTAAGGACGGCGCGGCAGATCCAAGCTTCTTACCATGCTTTTGCTGCCATTCTGAGTGATGGATCCGTCGTGACTTGGGGTGATTTTGGATACGGGGTTGATACCGCTGCTGTGCAGGAACTAGTTAATGCACTGGAGAATGTGCAGCAGATCCAAGCCACTGACTTTGCCTTTGCAGCGATACTTGGCAACGGATCCGCAGTGACTTGGGGTGCCCCTCGCTATGGAGGCGACAGTAGTGCAATTCAGGCTCGGCTGAGAAATGTGCAGCAAATCCAAGCATCTTCCCGTGCTTTTGCTGCCATTCTTCGCGATGGATCCGTCGTTACTTGGGGTAATGCGGCCAGTGGTGGTGACCACAGCAATGTGCAGGATCAGCTGAAGAATGTGCAACAGATCCAAGCTTCTTCCAACGCTTTTGCTGCCATTACTGTTGATGGATCCGTTGTGACATGGGGTGCTGATGTTGATGGGCGTTTGGGCAGACATGCAGCGAGGGGGCAACCGGAGTATTGTGTTTGTGTTTGATCCCTCTTGGCCGTGCGTGGTTTCCGGTAAGGCAACCGGCACTTGCCTTCAACTTTGCCACGGCCAGCCGTTGCATTTGCAAAGTATGTCGGTGTGCTGGGCCAGATTCTGCGGGCCCTGTCTCGCAGTCTCGTAAAGAAGCAGCACAGGCATGTGCACATTTCACACGAGTAGAGCACCACTGTAGCGAATAATCATCGTCGCCATGCCACGGCTGCCAAGGTGACAGTGAAAGCAGAACCATGTAGAAACTACAACAACGCATACACAGACATTCAAGCCCAAGCCGAGGTGCTGCACTGGGGGAGGCATCTCCGACGAACTTTCCCCAGCAACGGATCTTGCAGAGTTTTTTAGGGATCCTATGGGTTTTTATAGGGATCCTATGGGTTTTTATAGGGATCCTATGGGTTTAGTTTTCAGGGTTTAAAGGGGCTCTTGTATGGTAGGGCTGTTACAGGAGTATCTCAGAGGGTTGTAGGCAGCTTACAGCAACTCAATCGTCAGTAGCGGTCGTCTAGGCAACTTTTGGCTCGACCCCGGAATAGGCCATAGTAAGGGGTTTGAGGCATAGGTTGAAGGATTCGGCTGTCGCATCTGTCTACATGAACTTGTGAGTGGCCCTAAACCCTCAACCCTAAAACCTCCACCCTAAAACCTCAACCCTAAACGGGAGTCCGATCTGAACAAGTTCCGGATTCCAGTGTTTTTGGCACCGGCTCTAGGGTTTAACCCTGAAGCTTTGGGCCTTGCGACCCGGTAGCTTTTTTAGGGCTTCAGAGTATAGGGCTTTAGAGTTTAGGGCTTAGGGCTTTGGGGCTTCAGGGTTTAGGGCTTTAGTGTTTAGGCTTGGGGGTTAGGCTTTCTTTATCCAGGATGTTCATCTCTGTAGTCGGAATCACGAACCAGTGTTTTCCAGTGCAAAAAGGTTTCATGGGGCGCACCAGCGGCTTCTAGGGATTGGGCCTTTTTAAAGGGATGTAGTTGGAAGGCACAAGGACGGAGCAAGGAGCTTAAACCCTAAACCCGAATTTGTCCCAAACCCTAAACCCTAAACCCTAAACCCGAATTTGTCCCAAACCTTAAAGCTGCGAAGTGCTATTTTCAAGACCGAGCCCCTCGTCTGTAGGCCGTCAGAAACCCTCCATGCTATTAAGCCCCAAAGCCCTCAAGAACTGATCCTAGGAACCCAGCCCTCACCCTAACAGCTTCAACCCTAAACTCCAGATCTCTGCAGCCCAAGCCTTCAAGCACCTTAAACACTACACCCCTAAACTGTTAAATCCGATTTGCCCGACAAGCCTTGAACCCTAAACCCTAAACCCTAAATCCTTAGCCGGGCTGTACTCGACACATCCTTCCGTGAACCTCGGAGAAGCCAAGTGTCAGTTTGTAGGGTTTAGGGTTTAGGGCTTAGGGTTTAGGACCGAGAATCAAATCAAAGGAGACGTGGGTCATGCAACAGCACCACGAGACCTCCTCTCGATTTCATCTGTGGCAAAAGTGGCGTGGCATTGAGATCCAAGACGAAGGACTCGGAGAGGATCGTCGTGCTCAGGGCAAGGTCTGTGGTTATTGTAAACCCTAATTAAACCTGATGTGAGACCCGAACATTTTCGACCCTAGACATCCCTGTAAGCCGTACTTCCAAAATACTAAGCAGTAAGCACCCTAAGGTCATCCACAGGCGACTCCTGCAGTAGAGTAGAGTGTCTCAAACCCGCCCAGACCTAAACTTGAAAAGAACACACACACACACAATCTTTCTCTTGAGTCACCCTGAAACCCTAAACCCTAAACCCCGAAAAGCTCTCAAGCTCCACTCCCCCACCCTTGCAAGCCTAAAGGTCTCGCCCCTTTTTGCCAGGTGGGTACCTCGGCCGCCCGCAAGAGGCGGGAGGCGCGAAACCAAAAGAAGCCGGGTCGCCCAGTCGAGAGTCCTGTGGGTTACAGTCGGCTTAGTACTGGTGGTTGAGGTTGTTGTACTTATGAAATACCTGCTGCTTCAGTCTGTTTTCAATTAAAAAACCTTGCGGAAGCTCAAGCCTGGGTTTTAGTGACATGAACCGATGTAAACCTAAAGGCTCCATTGTAGTTCCTTTTTGGGGTTACCTTATAGGATCCTAAATAGAAACCAGAAAAAGGAACTACAACGGAGCTTATGGGAAGCATGTCATGACGAGATTTGGTCCTGGACTTCGGCACCTGCATCTGCATTAGAATGGTTTAGGGCCTAGTCGCGGGTGAGGTTGAACTCCTTCTTCGGCGGCAAGGTTTAGGTTGGTGTTTGACGGTTAGGGGTCCCTCTTGCTGTTTGGCTCTGGAGGTTCTACTGGTAAGCTTTACCATGGGAGGTTGTTGGTAAGCCTGGTAAGCGCGTATGGCTCTGGGCTTTGGCTTGGGGTTTCGGATGTATCCGATTGTTGTCTTTGCAGCTTCGCTCATGCAACAGCTTTGTGACCCTAAGCCCTACACCCCTTAGACCTAGCTAAACCGTCGCCGATTCAGCACCATTAAAAGCACAAGGTGATCTCCGTGAAGCTGCAAGCTTCCAAGACCACCAAGCCCTAAACCCTAAACCCTAATCCCTAATCCCTAAGCCCTAAACCCTAGACCCTAAACCCTAATCCCTAAACCCTAAGCCCTAAACCCTAAACCCTAAACCCTAAAACTCCGAAGCCGCATTTTCGACCCAGCCTCTGAAACCTCCAGCCGCGACCTGGAGCCGTGACTATGAAACCCAGCCACGGTTTAGGGCACGGTTTAGGGTTAGGGTTTAGGGTTTAGGGTTTAGAGTGCACTTGGGCTAAGCTGCGGGGTCTGAGCAAACCCCGGCCCTAAGGCAAAACTATCACTTATTAGTGCGTAGGGCTCTGTACTATTCTGGTGATGGTACAATCTAATTACTATAGGGCCTTAATAATTACCTATACTAATTTGGGGGTTCCTTCTTAGAATTATGGTACGGTATACCCCAAAACTCTATTCCAATTATTAAGGCCCCTGTATTAGCCCAAAATCCGTTCTACTTGTTACGGCCCCTATACTGCACTGCCGCCTAAACCCTAAACCCTAAATAGGGCCTTTAAACCCTATAGGCCAGGCTCTAAACCTCCCTAAGCCAAACCTTAATCCACAAAGCGGAAACTGAAAACCCAATCCTGTAACCCTGAACTCAAAAAAACCTATAGGCCCTATTCTAATCCCTGTAAGCATATATACGCCCTAAGCTCTAGGTATTTCGAGACTTGAGAACCCACTTGACTGAGGGCTGCGAAGATGCCAACTCTACAGGCCTTCACGAGGGTTCTTTTAAGGTTGGGGCTTCGTTTAGGGTTTCGGTAGTTCCGGTTTAAGCTGGGGCTTTCCCTGGGGGTTTCGAGAGGGGTTGCTTCAGGGGCTCCTGAAAGTATACTTTCTGTTAAGAGCGCGGTCTAATGCTGAAGGTGCCCCTTTTCTAGTTTTAGAGGCATTGCGAGGTTTGCGGGGTTTAAAGGGCTCACATGCTCACATGTAGGTTTTAGGTTTCCTTACATGCGTCAGTGAGGCTACCATAAGAGTGACCACCAGGGCTTATTATAAGGATGCTGTAAGGGTTACGACGGTTACGATACGATCAGGGATTCGAAGGTACTTCAAGGGTTTGGTTTGGGGTGGAAGGGTGAACACAGGGGATACTTGCAGGGGTACTTACGCTAAACCCTGAACACTATTACCGTTGCTATATGGGTTCCATAACGGCTCCCCGTTTTCCGTGAGCTTCGGAGTGCAGGGTACCGGGTGCTTTAGTGATGCGATAGGCAGTGATAGGTTCTGATGAAGTTATGATGGGTTTCGATAGGTTTTACGAGAAGGTTTGATAGGGTGATGACAGCTTCGATGAGGTTGTGCAGGTTGTGGTAAGGTTATGATGGGTATTCGTAGGGTTATGATGGGGATCAGGATTTGGGATGCAGAGATCAGGGCTGGTTGACCGGGCGGATTCCTGGTTTGGGTCTTGAGGTTTAGGGTTTAGGGTGCTGCTTTTCTTGGTCTTGGAGGGGTGTGAGTTGAACCCAATGTTGCCAGACTCAATCGGCGACTTTCGATCCTTACGGGCTCGGAGTTTGGGATGTAGCACGATCTGTGGGATCTTGGTTATAGTAGTGTAAGGCGAGAAGTGCTCGTGAGGCACTGCAATGGCATGACTTGTAGGAGCCTAAGTAAGGACAGCGATGCTAGGTTCTGTGCTGCACAAAATATCATGCGTGCGTGTGTGTGTGTGTGTGGTGTGTGTGTGTGTGTGTGTGTGTGTGGTGTGTGTGTGTGTGTGTGCGTGTGTGTGTGTGTGTGTGCTCTCTTGGCCTTCAGGATCGGGCTGTCTGAGCTACAGGGGGCAAGGTTGGAACTCTAAGCCCATAGCCCTCAACACAGGCATGACTTCCTGTTGTTTTTGGCCATCGGTCGGTTTGCGTTGGTTCATGGGACGTTTCAATTTCTGTGCTGCGGTGTAAAGCAGGGGCCTCCATGACTGGAACCTGAGGCTTACAATGTACTTATATAGGCTTTAGGGTTGGGTATTTAGGGTTTGGGGTTTGGGATGACTTAAAGTGGAGACTCTTACTAATTTTGTTGATCCTTATTGAAGGTTCTACAGTTTAGGGTTCAGAGATGAACGATTCCTGTGTCCAGGCGACTTATACAGGGTACACAGGTGGCTCTTTTCCGTCAAATCCACTGCGATGAGGCAAGTTACTGTGTGTTTGCCACATAAGCTCGGGTCCAGGGTTCTTAAGCAGTAGCGTGCAAAGGGTTGACCTTCGACATAGTGTCTTGTGGAAGTCGTGGTGTGTGTGTGTGTGTGTGTGTGCGTGGACAGGGGCGGAAGCAATGACACTGTTGCCACGACTCCTTCTGCGCGGCAGCTGCGGCTGCAACCGCTGTCACGGCTGCTACGGCTGCTGCTGCTACTCCTGCCCCCGCCGCTGACCCTGTTTGGAGCTGGAGACGCACACCTCCACCTCCGCACACGTGTGTGCGCACTCACACTGCTACTGCTACTGGTGCAACGTTGAACACCCATCTTGAAAGCTTCAGTGCTCCTGCTTCTGTCTGAAAGTTGCGCGCCAATGTGGATTCCCATGTTTTCGCCGGTTAGAACCTACAAAAGCTTACAGTTTGCCAGCGCGTGGGACTGATTTCTAGTGTTTTGAGGCTTCGCCCGAACAGGCTTGCAACACCGCATGTCAATCGGATTCCCTAGATAAGCACTTTCTGTGCAATGACTTCTCGGCCCTGCTGCGACTTATTGAACGCTGCCGTGACATAAGTTTACCCCTCGTAGGTAACCTTCATCATCCTTCAGGTGTACTCTAATCCCTATATACCTCCAAGGCTGGCCTTTTGTCCCTCAGGATAATGGACAAGTTAGGGTTTAGGGTTTAGGGTTTAGGGTTTAGGGTTTAGGGCAATGCGAACCCAACATGCTGCCTGGTCGAGGAAGATGCGGCAGGAGACGGCGGCTGAGCGCGTCTGAGCGCGTCCCAGGGCTAGCCAGCTAGCCAGTGCGGTTTATCCCATAAGGTCACTTGTGCCAGGCCTATGCAAACCCCTAAACCCTAAAACCTAAAACCTAAAACCTAAAACCCTAAACCCTAAACCCAAACATGCACAAACCGGAGTAATTTGGATGGATTCTGTTAACACCATCTCACATGTCACCTGTTTCCAAGACGCAAGGGTGCCGCCTTAAAGTCATCTCCGGATGAGCTTTTCAAGGAGGAGTCCAGGGGTGTTTAGGATTGAGGGCAAGTTCGAGAATATCCGGAGTATTCAAGGGGTACCTAGGGTATAGGGTTGAGGGGTTTGGGGTTTAGGGGTTTGGGGGTTTAGGGTTTAGGGTTTAGGGGTTAGGGGTTTAGGGGTTTAGGGTTTAAGGCCTACTGTACGTAGTCGTAGGTACTCTGGCAAGCTTTAGGGTTTTAGGGGTTTAGGGTTTAGGGTTTAGGGAGCTGAAACCATCATAGCCTAAACCCTAAACCCTATAAACCCTAAACCCTAAACCCTAAACCCTATAAACCTCTTTCAAACCTCGAAAGCCCAATGGCCGGGCCGACGACTCGCTTTAGATGCAGGCAAGTATTGGCGAACTCCGCCGATCAGAGACGGGGATCTGACTCCGGGTTTAGGGTTTTGGGGTTTAGGGTTTAGGGTTGACAGCTAGTTGGAGGTTGCTGTTAAGATAGAACGGAAGCCTCCCGGGCTCAGAACTCACCTGAATCGCCAGGGGTTTCTGATAATCCCCTTCAGCCGTAAGTTACAGCAAGTTGTGCGTCCATCGTGTTGAGGTGATGGCTCATGGCCCTTGTTTCAGTCGTGGTTCTGCTGCTCACCTGTAACCTTTCGCCGTCCTGCCTAGTGTAGCTAAAGTACCTCTACAAGTTCATCGATGTTGGAAATCTCAACTCGCATTCGGTTCTGTTCCCGGTGCCCTCGGCTACCAAAGCTGCCTTATGTCAATCGAATTTAGGACTTCACTTCGCAGCTCCACTCAGATCATCGTCTCTGCTGTACAAATGGCTTGGGCGCTGAGTGCGATGCCAAGCAACGCGCTAGCACAGCCACGTTCGATTAGGCTCTAATCAAAGGTTTCATGTACTTAAATAGTAGAAACATTGGCCCTAAAATATCTATATGGACTACATGAAGGCCAGAGCATACATTTTATAATGCCCACCTTCGTTTCAACGGATCGAGTTGCTATTCGGTTGCAAGGGCCAGAGATTAGGCTTACACCCCTGAACCCTACACCCTAAACCCTTAGACCCTAAACCCAAAAACGTAAACCCTAAACCCTAAACCCCTGGGCCCTAAACCCTAAACCCCTAAACCCTAAACCCTAAACCCCTAAACCCTAAACCCCTAAACCCCTAAACGCTAAACCCAAGACCCTAAACCGTGCGTGTTTGGTCTTCGGGTGCGAGTAAAGGCCCTCGCGCCTGCGCGATGCTCTTCAAAACCACTCGGAGTCCCCACACCCTATAGGGTTTAGGCTTTGGGTTTAGGGTTTGGGGTTTTAAAGTTTTAGGGTTTNNTTTAGGGTTTAGGGTTGAAGCCCTAATCCCTGCATCCGACGGTTTAGGGTCTAGGGTGAATTTTTAAAAACTAAGAGTCTCTCCATGAGCCGGAAGAGCGACATCCCAACCGGAATCCCGAGCGTAGGTACCTTAATAAGAAACCTTGGACCTACCCCCCCCCCCCCCCNNGTTTCTCAATCAGGTTCCTACATTAAGCCCCAAACCCTAGCCAGCTTTGCAAGAACGTCGCGTGGGTGATGAGGGCGCGATTGAGTGGACTTGTCCGAATATCGGCGCTGCCCACGAAAAACCAAGGGTTAGCAGGTGTTGGAGGGCTTTACTGCAAGGCCGATAAGGGCGTTGAGAAGAGAAGGGTTGTCCCTAAGCCCTAAACCCTCGGTTGAGGCTTGAGGTTTCAAGGCCTAGGTTTTCCGGTTCGGAGATGAGTTTTGAATGGCTGGATGTATTCAAAAGCTATAAGGGTTACTGCCGATACACGGGTTGCTACAAGGCTGTGGCGCACTTCCTGTGGATCCACTGAGTGACAACAGTTTCGGCTTGGTCGAAGGTTGGGTTGAATATGGGCTCCCGGAAGTTAAGCTGTTGTTACACGTCATATGTGGCTGAAATAAGACGGAAGGGCGCTGCTACCCTGTTGCCTGAATGAGGCCCTTGATATTATTCAGCACTCACCCACAGACTTGAACCCTAAACCATGAGAGTGCGTGTCAGAGATGCTCTATGATGCTCTGCCTCTGGAACGACGCCTGTAGATGCCCTTGAAGGCTTCTGTGAAAGGGTTTAGGGTTTAGTTTTTAGGGTTTAAGGCTCAGGTCTCCACCTATGTCCTTGGGTTGATTTTGTTCAAGCCGCACAGTTCTTTCCGTCGATTGGAAGTGCTGACTCCGAGTCAGGAAGGGTTTGGTCTGTCAGGACTGATTCTTGTTGCGTTGGGTTCAGGGTGCCGTCCGACCATGTTGCAGTCGAGCGGTATAACCCTTACGAGTAGTAGCCTCTTGATCCACAGGGGGGCATTCCTGTTCTTTTGGTAGCTCCAACGCCAACCGTCACCTGGCTTACTTCATGATTGGGTCCCTTCCCCCAAACCCTAAACGGCCCTAAACCCCAAACCCCAAACCCCAAACCCAAAGCCTCCCACCCCAGCATGCACCTTAGGGTTGAGAATTTGAGGCCCCGAGCGCGTTGCCTTCAGTCTCAAGTCTCCGTGTTCATCCGTGCGGAACTCTCAAGCCCATAGACAGTCAGGTGTAAAGCAGGCTTCTATTGTGGGCTATGGAACACAGGTAGTACGGTTGGTACCTGTAGATAGTCGTACTTCTCGTAATCTAGGAGAGCAATAGCAAGAGGAAGTAACCCAAATTACAGGAAGAGTTGTCACGTAGATGATAGCACTTCAACAGCGGTCATGTCATGCGGACGGTGGAAGCCAAGAAGAGAGTCTCCGCCATTGAGCTTGCGAGGTCCTGGACATAGCACCCAGGTTTAGGTTTCGGGCCCCCTAAAGTTTAGGGTTCAGGGGACCTTCAGAGCTCTTTCTTGGGGGGGTTCAGTGACCTTTCTTTTGCACTGTCCTTGCCTTGGCCGTGGCAATGGCGCGCGCGATTGCCGTAGTTGCTTGGAGCTGGCTCCCGCAGGGCACTTAGGGTTGGCTATGAGGGTGCAGGAGGCTGATCAAGACTAGTCAATTAAATAGTTTTTGTAGGGCTCGTGAGTTTACGGTCGGTTTGGGGGTTGAGCGTGATTGAGCTCCGAAGCCGTTCTTAAATGAACATGTCCACGCCGAGGTCGCGTAAGCAGGTAGGAAGACAATACAGTACGCTGGGACAATACTACGCTCTTGTGAACACTGGTATGATATGAACGCGCTGCCGAGATGTAATCATCATATTATGCCGCTTTGGCAATTTAGGCTCGGCCTCACGTGGCCAAAACACACCGTTGACCTCGAGCAAGAGGATCTGACCACAAGCTGTAGCGCTTTGGTTAATTTCTCTAGTAGACTCAGTAGACTTCGGGGCAGGAGGGCTTGAAGCAAGTCAGGCTTCATAGTTTCAGCCACATGCCCAACATCCCAGGCACGATGTACGTCACAACTAGAAAGACTTCCGGGCCCTTAGGGTCCGATCATCAACTTACCACTTAGGTCTTCGGATGTTCTTCGGCTTCCGGGTGGCATCTGCTTAGTTTCGGTGTGCGCTAGTACGCAACTTGCAATGGACAAGCTCCGTAACATAGAGGTTGAAGTAATTACCTATACTATTTTGGGGGTTCCTTATTATGACTATAGTATAGTGGGTCCCAAAACCTTATTCTAATTATTATGGCCCCTACAGTAACTGAAAGGCCCTGGATGATTGCAGTCGCTGGGAGAGCAGAGCTGGAAACCTCAAAGCCCTAAACCGTACGAGCCCTGTTTCCTTAAGCATGAGCCTGTTACGATAGTGCAGCCTAAACCCTAAAACCTATACCCCCAAAAATTTTCATGCAGCAATGCCTCGAGGAGCCACCCGATTCTATTCAGCCCGAAAACCCTATACCCCCGGAAACTGCGTGCAGCAATGCCCCGAACGAGACGAATAGTTGACCTCCTGTGTTATCTTTAGGTCCCTAGATGCTCGGCTGCAGGCCACATACCGTCTCGTATGCAGGCCGTGAAAAGTAACCTAGCATGTAAGTATCTGGAGACCCAAGTCAGAGAACGAGTTTGATGGTTTCTTTACTTCAGGAATATTGGCGGCAGGAATCTAAGCACCAGTATACGGGATTATTATCTTGGGACGACTGTAGGGATCCGCTCTCTCCCACTCAGAACTGGGGCCCTGAGCCCTTAACAGTCCTAACACTGCAAATAGCTCAAGGGATGCATTATTTAATGATTTACGACTTGGAGTTTTACGGATCCTAAACCCCGAACCCTGAACCATAGAAAGGTCTGCTTCGTTGGCGGATTGGGTTACCATCAGTGGAGTGCGCATCTCGGTCTTGTGCAAAAGACTGCCTGGAACCGCAGACGTGTGCTTCCGACAGGAGCGAATTGAAGTGTTCCTTGCGATTGCCAGACCTAGTCCCTAACCAACAAAACCCCCAAAAGTAGGCAGAATAATGGCCCAATACCTACAAAGGGCTTGGGGTCGAGGTAAGCCCGAAGCCCAACTCCTAAAAATACTAAACTTGCTGCCTTCTTCGCGTGGACTTGCGGTTTCGAGCCTTTTTAAAGCCGCTTCTGGTCACCGAAGACATAGCAAACACAAGCAAGTGCTACCCCATGCGATCGCCGAGTTGCCTGGAGATGTACATCACGCCAATGCTTCGCGTTTGTTTCTGGTGTCTGGTTGAGGAGTTTGCTCGTGGATCTAGGAGGTAGGCGCAGTGCTGTTTCGGATGCTTCTGTCGGAAAACACCTCCTGCAAATGACCCCAAGCCCTAATC